CTGAAAGAGAAGGGATTACAGCATAGCCATCCCCCCTGGGGGGGGGTGATTTCTTGCTTTCTGTCTCTCTGTCTCTCTCTATCTTTCTGGCGAGCACACACGCCCTATAGCAAAAACCTATCCAAAAAAAAAAAAAAAAAAGAGAAGAGAAAAAATATTAATTTTTTTTTTTTCCTAAAGGGTGCATGTGTTTACTAGGAGACAGAGCTGGAGAAGAAGAAAACATACCAATAGTGTATTTCTTCTCCTCTATTTCTCCATCCTGTCAGATTGAGGGACATACATGTACACATTTCTGACATTTTTTAAAGCTACTGGGCTGAGATTTGAACCATACAGCTGGTCATGAGGGATTTAGCTCCTGTAGTCACCAGGCCACAGGGCTGGCCTCAATGTGCATTTCTCTAGTATCGAATGACACTGGGCATCTTTTCATGTGCTTATTCCTCTCATTGGTGAAATTTCTGTTCGAATCATTTGTGTGCTTTTAAATTATATTTTTATTTGTGACTTGTCTTTTTATTGCTGAGTTGTGAGTATTCTTTTTATTAGGTTGTCAGAAAAGTCATTAAACATTTTTGCATAGAAAAAACAGAATAAATACATCATGACTTTTCCAATTACTCAATAATTATGAATCCAAATTTCTTACCAGATATATAATTTAAAAACATGTTCTTCCATTCTATAGGTTTTTAAAATAGCAATTTATGTTTAGGTACGCTTGCATTAGTCAGAAGTTAAAACTTAAGTATAGAAATTATCCAAACTCTTTACCTCTTCCTAGATTAGTACCAACTTGGAAAAGCCAGTGCTTATAGTATACTCTAAAAAGAATACACAGAGGAAGGGAAAAAAAGCACAGTGCCTAGCAGGAAGAATGTGTCTGATTAGCTTTGGCAAATGAATACATGAGATTTATGTATTTATTCCTGGTTCCCACCACTACCTTAACTTGTTGAGTTCCTCTGCTGGATTTTTCAGAATGACATTTATCTCATTGCCTGGAGACCCTGGAGGAGTTATGATGCACAGCTCTTTGTGCAGGCTCAAAACTGTCTACTCCATGTTGAAACACTAAAGCATTACCGCTATCATACTGGGAGCCACAGATTTTTCATGGTAAAAAAGTTTCAACTTCTGCTCTTTAAGGTCAGGAATCACTGACTTAAGAGAAAGAAACAGTTGTTTCTGTCAGTTTAATGTTGTCTTTACAGTGCTTTCAATGGTCTGAACATTCTGAGCATTTCCATATTATCTAGGCTATAGGTGTGTTTTGGAGGTTCACTTAGAGAATTTCACACTTGCTTCAGTGCCCTTGACCTAAAAGGGATTCCCACAGTGTGGTCTGCTGCTCCCTTGACCAAGCACATGGCTGTAGGGAGATGGATTTGACCTGTGAGGGAGGTAGGCCATACCTGTCAGATCTCCTGGATCTACTCTGGACACTTTGGGGCTGAGAGATGGTCCTGGCTAGGCCACCTACAGCTCCACATCACTTACAACAGACTACCAAGATTATTTTGCAACTGATATAATCCCTTATGTATCTTGAGTGTTAACTCCCAAGAAAAATCAGAATATTTGGGAAGAATCAAAGGAATTCTAGTTGGGACTGCAGTTGAAACTAGGAAATCAAGGAGACATATGGATGCAGCTGGGAAGGGAAGAACAAAGGGAAGCCAGATATTTACTTGTAACTGGATATAAACAAGAGTGTAATGTTACACAGGTACAGCTGGCTGGCCTGCTAGGGTTACTCGGCTCAGTTTCCTGGCCAGTGTACCCACTCAGATGACTGTGACAGGTACATGACATACATATGAATGCATGTACCTGCTAATTGCTGAAACACCACGTAATTAAGAGTATGCAAAATAGTCCTGCTATGGTTTGGGTGTTCCCCCAAATTCATGTGTTGAGATTTAATTGCATGGGTTGGGAACCAGCAGTTAGCGTAATGGCTATGTTGCTGGACTCCCACGTAGTCGACCGTGGTTCGTGTCCCGGACCCGGTGGCTTAAAACTCACGACAGGCACGTGTGCATGCGTGCCCAAGATCCCGAGAGGAGAATGGAGGAGAAGGGACTGCGGCGTGACCATCCCCTCTGGGGGGTGATTTCTCGTTTTCTGTCTCTATGTCTCTCTCTGTCTGGCGAGCGCACGCGCCGCATAACAAAAATCTCTCTCTCTCAAAAAAAAGAGATTTAATTGCATGGGTTTAAGAGGTGGAAGCTTGATCCAATTATTGTGTTAAAGGATGGGGCCTTTGGTAGATTAATGATTGGTTAGGGTGGGGGCCCCATGACTGAGTCCTGATATATAAGCAGAGAAAATGAGGCAGACAGAAAAGAGATAGACTATATTCTTTCATTCTCTGTCACATTGATGAAGACATAAGACTCCCACCAGAGGGGGTCCCTGGACCTTGGACCTCCAAACTGAGCTGGACAAGCCTCTATATTTATAAATCACCCAGGTTTGAGTATTTCTTGTTATTAGCTACAAAACAGACTAGAAAAGGCCCCATTAGAAAGAAGGGAAAAGGGAAATTAAATAAAAAAACAACTTGTGGGGACCAGCAGATGGCATAATGGTTATATCACTGGACTCCCATGTAGTCAACTATGGTTTGAGTCCTGGACCAGGTGGCTTAAAACTCATTCCGGGGTGCATGTGCGAGTGTGCCCAAAGATCCCAAGGAAAGAATGGAGGAAAAGGGATTGTGGTGTGGCCATTCTCCTGGGGGGGGGGGGATTTCTCACTTTCTATCTCTCTGTATCTCTCTGTCTCTCTACCGAGTGCATACTCCCTACAGCAAAAATCTCTCAAAAAAAAAAAAACATTGTGGATTCAGGTAGTTAATGTGATCATGGTTGTTGTCTCAGTCTAGGTTGGAAAAAACAATTTCTAAATCTACATAGTCATCTGTAATACCACATTATAATATTTATGTAATGTTTTTTCTTCCTCCACGAATATAAACACTTTTGAGTTTATATTGTTGCTTATCCTCACAGCATCCCCATTAGAAAAGAGACTATTTACTGATTGGTTTGAGGCTCAGAGGTGAATTAACTTTTTGGAGGTCAGGGAAATATAGATGGGTCACTGATATTTAGAAACTTGTTTGGAGCTAGGAACTAAACTAGCGATTTCACAAAATTAAGTTTTTTAAAAATCCCAATAAGAATCCCATGGAGTGGTTGGTATCATAATTTCATAGCTGAAAGAAAACTGCTCAAATCACTGAGCTCATAATGGTAGACTCAAACCATGTTTGTCTTTTATAGCCATATTCTTTTAGCTATGTCATGTTCTTATTCAATGATTTTAATTGATTTAGGCCTTTTGTCTGGAGGGATGTGGGGAAGGATTCTAAGTCCATGCCCTTTTATTCTTTTTTTTTCTTTTATTTGAGAGGTTTTTGCTATAGGGCGCATGCGCTCACCAGAAACAGAGAGAGACAGAGAGATAGAAAGCGAAAAATCACCCCCCAGGGGGGGATGGCCATGCTGCAATCCCTTCTCCTCCATTCTCCTCTTGGGATCTCAGGCATTCACGTACATGTGCCCGACTTTGAGTTTAAGCTACTGGGTCCGGGACTCCAACCACAGTCGACTACATGGGAGTCTAGTGACAGAGCCATTACGCTAACTACTGGTCCCCATGCCCTTTTATTCTGTTTGATGATGTCAGGGATAGGGAGATTGGCATCTAATATAGAACTCAAACACTGACACAGAATAAATGAATTTGTGATTGCCTTCTCTCTCAGAGAGAGAGAAAGAGAGAGAGAAATATATTCATGCTTCAATCCCTTCTCCTCCATTGCTCCATCTTTTTGGGATCTTGAGTGTACACGTATATGCACCCAGTGTTTTTTATAATCCTTTGCGACTGGGATTAAGACTGAACTATTGGGATATGGCTCATTTAACCTCTAGGCCTCTGTGCTGGCTCATGACAGACCTCATTTTTAGGAACTGAGAGAAGGGTTACCATTACACAAGGGTCTGTGTTTTGAAGGAGCCAAGGAAGAACTCTGCAAAAGGACTGCCCCTTACAATTGCATTTCCTCCCGTTTATGAGAGATGGGGAGGGGAAGAAGAAGAAGAGAGAGATAGAGAGAGAGAGATAGGTATTTTTGGCAGGGTTTTCCTGTGCTGTGATCCCCTGGCTCCAGCCTTCCAATTAGTGAGGATTATAGGTATGCAACTGAACCCAGTGGGCTCAGGTTGACCAAGGAAACAACCCTGGCCTTCCACATAGTTTCTAGCCTTCCAAGTGTTGGCCCGACTTGTGTACCACCACAGATGGGCCTATTATTGCACTTTAACAACAATCTCCCCTCCCTTCTCTTTTCTGCAGCGAGTATGATCAGCCATGGCTAATTTTCTCAACCCCCACCCCCCACCTGCCTGCTGCTTCATTCTGAAAAGCATTTGCTTCCTTACAGTGACACCCCCCATTACTTGAGCGGTAAGTATCAACACAACATGAAATACAGCAGAAATATACCCTGGTTGGGAGTGGCCAATAAACGTGAGACTGGCCGACCGGTACATCTCAGGACAAGGACTTGACAGCTTCTATCACTACAGGCCTGAAGTTAAGATGAGCGATATTCTTAGCGAAAATGATAAAACATTTAACCAGATTTATACCACAGACCATGGTTCCTATTTTAGTTTTGTGAATGACAAATACCCTTCAGTTTTCTACTTTTACATCTGTGTTTAAATTTTCAATTTTCAGGTTTGGGTGACAGATTTAAATCCTGGCTTTTTATGTATTGAGAAAGAGCCTTTTCATTTTCTTTTGCAAATCTCAGCTCTAGTTTACACGTCTCTCTCTCTCTCCTTTTTTTTTTTTTTTTATGAGGTTTTTACATGCAGAAAAACACCAGTCTCCCAGTGGAGTCCTGCTAGGCTCATCATTTTTCAGTTTGAAACTTATGGGAATTTTTGGATCTGAATCCCAATTAGTCTCCAACTTACCACACCATTTCACTTTCCAGTTACGATTGGCATCAACTCCACGGCAGCGAAACCAAGAGTTCCTTGACCTTGTTTTCCTCCAAAATCGATCCTAGACATAATTAAGAAAACAGGTGTAGAGAAAAATACTTAAAAGGCTACTCCCATGCATTCTTAGTAGCTCAATTAGTGTTCTAGTCACACCACTGAGGGGAAAGTTCCTCTGTGAATTGTCAGGATGGGGAAGTGGAAAGAGAACAAGATTAGCAGGAGAGACCTAGGTCTATGCTCCGATTTCTATCATAAACTTCCTGTCTCTTGCCTTCTCTTGGCTTTGTTTCTTCACAGGCAAAATTTAACTGGTTGGAGTAGACTAATGATTCTTTTTTTTTTTTTTTTTGGGAGAGGTTTTTGCTATAGGGCACGTGTGCTCGCCAGAAAGACAGAGAGAGACAGAGAGACAGAAAGCGAGAAATCACCCCCCCAGGGAGGATGCCCACGCCGCAATTCCCTCTCTTCCATTCTCCTCTCGGGATCTTGGGCACGCACACACACGCGCCCAGCATGAGTTTTAAGCCACCTGGTCAGGGATTTGAACCACAGTCGACTACATGGGAGTCCAGGAACATAACCATTATGCTAGCTGCTGGTCCCTAGACTAATAATTCTTCATAATATTTTTGGGAGGAGAAATGTCTATTACATAAAATTGTATGCCAAAGCTAAATATGAGGCTGGCTCTGTGACCTGCCGGTTAAGGGAGTCATATTCCACATGGCTGACTGTGCTGTTTGAATCTCAGTGTTAGTGGCTTGGACAACACCCTAGGCGTCTGTGCAAGCATGCTCCAAATCCTGACAAGATGGAGAAATGGAGGGAATGGGATTGCAGCGTAACTATGCCCCACTGGAGGGTGCTTCCTCCCCTCTCTGTCTATCTCTGGCGAGTGCACACACCCTCAAATTAAAATTAAAAAAAAAAGTTAAACATGGAAATAAAATTAAAAGGTGGTATTATGATGGGAAGAGAATGAAGGCCTTTTTTTTTGCACTGCGGGAGTCCTCAAGTTGGCTGCCCACCAAGTTTTCTTCCTGTCCTGGAAGTTTGTGACTTGGTTTTCTATGATTTATTCTGTCCTTAATTCAACCAGGTAGACAAAGTGACTTACATTGGTCCAGCTAAAATGGTATCCATCAACATTAAACACAGGCATGATGTAGAAATACAGATGATTCAACATTTTTCTCATGGCTGGGTCGCTCCTATATGTTAGAAGAGCCTAAAAGACAAAGGGGACAGCTTTCTTATAAATTGTTCACAAATATAGGTTTAGGGAAAAAGAAAAGAGAAATCCTTTTTACCTATGAGAGATAGCAAATACTATAGATTACAGAGTAATATGCTAACATGAACTGTACTCTGACGTCATACATTCTGCATTGAGATTTTGTCTTAAGGAAACGCTTTATTATCAATAATAACAGAAAAGCTGTTGAAATAGATGAATTGGGCAGCCTCTCATTGTATTTAAGATCTGGCTAAATTTGTAGGCTGATTAAGAAAGTAATAATGTGGGGCAGGTGATGGGGCTGTGTGATGCTTGCTTGTGGCGACCCAAGTTCGTGTGTGGATCTGGTCAGGCATGTAGGGTGTGTCTGTACAAACTTGATGTATACAAGCTGCTAAGTTTTGAGATAATATTTATCATCATTTATTTTGATAAGAACATTTATAAGCTTTACCGTCTTGGCAAATTTCTAAGTATTCAATGCAGTATTTTTTAACTATAGACACTATGTTGTACAGATCTTTAGTATGTATTTATCTTATATAATCAAAACTTTGTACCCTTTGATTAATACCTCTGACTCTTCTGAACAAAAGCTAATTTTGCATATATTTCCTCAGAAAGTTGAATCCTTAACATTTTAATCTTTTAGTTAGGATTTCTGAGTCATTATAAGCAGCATTTTATGTTTACATGCTGAGAATTCTATTTATAGAGAGCAATTCAACAATTTTTGTTAAAAACTCACTATATTAGAAATAATATTGAAATATAGGATATGTTCAAGGACATAAGACTTAAATACAATTTTATTACACAAAATTAAATTATCTTTGAGAGTAACACAATTTCATAAAGATACACATACTCCTTTATTGTTTTCCTTTTGTTTAAGGCTTAGTAATAATTTGTTGTCCAACTAACTACAATAGAACTTACAGGTATGCTTGAATTTCTACTGACTGTCCAATGCCTCAAACTAGGGTAAGATTCGAATAAGTGATCAATTGTACAAATCTGGAGTTAGCTTTTCTTTAATAAGCAGAGGCGCCCCCATCCCCGATACTTGGCTGGGGATGGCAGAGCCAGAGCTAAATGATTAGGTCCATTCCTCCTTAAAATTTGGCAGCTGTGGGGACCAGCAGGTGGCTTAATGGCTACATCACTGGACTTCCATGCTGCTGACCACGGTTCAAGTGTCCGACCCGGTGGCTTAAACTCACGCTGGGCGTGTGTGCGTGCCTGCCCAAGATCCCGAGAGGAGAATGGAGGAGAAGGGAATTGCGGCGTGGCCATCCCCCCTGGTGAGTGATTTATGTCTGTCTTTCTGGCAACTGCATGTGCCCTATAGCAAAAACCTCTTTAAAAAATTGGCAGCTGTGTCTTTCTATGCTACTTTAAAGATGAAGAGAAAGAAGCTGGCAAACCAAGGTAACAAAGAAGAGGTAGGAAAAAGCCATGATAAAGTCTCTCCTTCCTGTCCTAGCATTGGAGACCAGAGATTGTCTCAGTTCAAAATGGGGAAGTCTCATCTTTCTAAACACATGTCATTTAGTACTTCTGTGGAGGACTGTGCTAGAGACCTGAATGGAAACATCCTCATCTTATTCCACATTCTCCTCCAGTGCAAGTTACCTCTATAACTGATATTTGAAAAAATATTGCTATTTCCTGTAGAAAAATTATAAATTATAATTATATTTTAAGCAAATAGAGAAAACAGAGAAGACCCAGTCCTTGTGGTATAGCTAGTAGTATACTGAACTGAAGAAGTGGAAGCCACATGTGGACTATAGTTTGAGACCCCAACCCTGTTGTCTGAAAAAATGTAGGACACATTCTTAAGTGCCCAGGATTCTGGTGCACTGGAAGACTGGAAGGAGTGGATCACGCATGATTGAACCCTGTGGAGGGTGCTTCTTTCTCTTCTCTGCTCTCTCTTTTGTGATGCATGTGCCCTATCATGAATTTTAAAAATAGAGAAAAACCTATTATACTCATGTACCTATCAATACATCTACCATCATTTCTCAAATATTTTTAAAAAATGAGTTATTATAGATAAAAGCCTCCTCCACTCCCCCTTTAAAGATGGTCTTAGGGTCAGCAGGTGGCATGGTGGTTTGGGCACTCAATTTCAACATAGCTGACCACTGTTTGAGTCCTGGACCTGGTGGCTTGATTTCTCACTTTCTCACTCTCATGAGTGCATGTGCTTTATGGAAAATTAAAAAATAATAAGAATAATCAATAAAAATAAATAATTATTTAAAAAATATAATTAAAATGTTTGCTGTGTCACCATGCCATTTTTTTAACAGAGATTTTTGCTATAGGGCACATGTGCTTGTTGGAGAGACAGAGACAGAGAGGCAGAAAGCAAGAAATTACTCCCCAGGGCGGGTGGCCAGGCCATAATCTCTTTTCCTCCATTCTCCTCTTGGGATTTTGGGCATGCGTGCTCACATGCCTGGTGTGAGTTTAAACTACTGGGTCTGGGACTTGAACTGCAATTGACTATGTGCGAGTCCAACTATGTAACCATTATACCATCTGCTAGTCCCTTATAAAATTTTTTAAGAGAAATTTTTGCTGTAGGTTATGTGTGTTCGCCAGAGAAACAGTCAGAAAGTGAGAAAACACTGCCGCCCCCCCCAACCCCCCGAGAGGATGGCCATGGTGCAATCCCTTCTTCTCCATTCTCCTCTCAGAATTTTGGGCATGTGCACACATGATGAGTCTCAAGCCTCTGGGTCCAGGACTCAAACTGAACTGTGGTTGACCATGTGGGATTCCAGTGATGTAACCATTATGCGATCTGCTGGTCCCATGCACCAGGCTTCTGCCTCAGCCTCCCAGTTGATACTGGGGCTTGTACTGCCACACCCAGGTCTTGGCCTCACATGTAGTCTCAGCCTGTGGACCACAGCAGCTTGGCAGCCATGTGCCATCCTGGCTGGGCCTAAAGCCCAGGCCTCAACCCCACCTTTTTTGTTTGTTTGTTTGTTTTTAGTATTTTTTAATATCATTCCTTGATTCCATTTTCTTCCCTTCTATTAAGATAATCCCTACCTCAAATTTGACCTGATCATTCCCTGGCATGACTGCATGTTTGCTACATACATATAGATTCATGGACAACATATGGTGTGTGTATGCTTAAGAATTTTATGGAAATCAGATGATATGTCAATCTGTGATCTGCCTTTTTTTCCCATTTTATTTATGTGTATATGTATATGTACATATATATACACACACACTCAGACACAAATAATATATATATATATCATATAATATATATATATATATATATGATATATATGATATAGATATATTAGGCTGAAGACTTATTTAACTTATTAAATGATAGTTTATTGTAAGTAAATGCATATTCATCTTTTTTTTTTTTTTTTTT